TGCGTGTCAGCTCTAATTAGGCAAACTTCTGTATTCATTGCGAGCCCAGCCAGCGGAGAATTCCACAATTGAATTTTAATGCCCTAAAAACACATTACAATCAGCCTGATTAATTAAGAGATGGCTTAACATGGTGAGCGGGCTGCAGAGGGCCGCGCTGGGGAGGGGTGCCATGCGGGCCTGCTCCTGCGCCCCACGGCACGGGGCACGGGCATGGAGAGCACTGGGGCCAGAGGAGCCGGGAATGGCCCCTGAGCCCTGCGGGGCTGCGGGAGGGAACGGGGGTCGGGGCCAGGCTGTGCCCCGGGGGTGCCAGGCTGCAGGGACCCCTGCTCCCCCCATCAGCGCTGGGCTGAGCCCACACCTCGGGCGCCTCGGCAGTCCTGGCGCTCAGCCAGGCAGGAGATAGTGCCAGCATCCCCTTCCCACCCTGGGCCTCACTCTCCCCACCAGTGTGGCCATCAGGACCCTCCTGAGTGCCCATTCCCCGTGTCCCCGCCACGTCCCCGCGCTGGGAGCAGTGGCCGATGCTGTGTCACGCTGTGAGCAGGGTGCTCTGCTTGCTTTTGTTTGTGAGTGAGGACGAGCTGGGAAGCTCCTATTAATTTATCTCTCCAGCAATTCCCCAGGGCACCAGCAGTGCTGGCTAACGGGCTGCCACCTCCCACAGGCCAGCCCTGCCCCTGCTCCCTTGAGCCACCACTTGCTGGGACAGTGCCCAGCACAGCCCGGGCTGTGTCCCCACACACATCACTGCTCGGGGTGGCCTTGCCAGCCTACATGGACACCGTGGGCTGAAGTGTCCTGGGGGGATCCTTCCCCTGCATCCCACCGTGGGCACCAGGCAGTGGGACTGGTCGCCGCAGAGCTCTGCCAGGCTGAATTGCACCAGGTGCCCCTGCTCAGGGGATGGTTTGGCCGAAGCCCATCCTGCCGTAGCGTAACGAATGGGAAAGGGGGAAATCCATAACCATAGTGTAAAGGAGAGGTTGCAACCGGCAGGACATAAATCAGAGGGAAAGTGATAAAGGGAGCCTCTCGCCAGGAGAGGCCGGCAGCAGAGGGAGGGATGGCGATGGCATCATGAGGCCAAAAAGAAATCCTGGCAAGGCCATAAATTCTGCAGCCGCTGGAGCTGCTCGAGCGCTAATGATCACACAAAACCGCCAGCCACGTTTAACAAATATTTCTGCTCTGTATTTGGAGAGAAGAGGGACGACATGCTTGAATCATACAAGAGTGATGAAGTCGTCTATTAATTACTGCCGGGAATGTTAAACAACATCTGCCAGCTCAGCGGGTCCAGGCACCGCCCGCCCCGGCCTTCTCCAAGAGCTGGAGGAGAATTTGGCCTCCTCATTAATTTCCTGTGAAAACCTTGAAATAGCGAGAAAATCCCAGCCGGCTGATGGAGAGCCCACCCACACCAGGAGCCGCGGGGACGTGGGGGTGCTCGGTCCTTGTCTCCTCCTCTTGGCTCCACTGGGATTTAAATCACATTCCCACACGGTTCGATCCTCCCTGATGAAGAATAGCCATAAACCAGCAAAGGTTGGGCATTTGTTTCCCATAATATGATGGATGGATTTGCTTTTACCTGAGTGGTTTTGGAGACAGTAAGAAAGGGAGGCCTGAGAGGGTCAATGTGCTCGTTAAGGCATCCCGCAGAAATCTTCGTCACAGCTTTGGGAGGGCCTGGCATCTTTCCCTGCATCTCCTTCGTGCTGCCTGGTGCCTGGGACAGGAGGGATGGAGGGGATAGGGGATGAGGGATGGAGGGAGAGGAGCAGTAGGAGGAAGAAGAAGTAGAAAAGGAGGAGAAGGAGGCTCCCACCAGGACCAGGATAAGCCCTGGCTCTGGCACAGCCCTGCTGCATCCCATCATTAGCCAGTTGCAACCCAGACAGGTCCTTCTTTTCAGGAGGGGGAACCAGGGTTAGCAGCAAAGGTGGCTGTGAAGGGCACAGCACACTTCTACGGTGGTGAAGCAACCAGCTCAGCAGCAGAAAGACAGTAATTAACAAATTATCTCTGCACAGTATGGACGGACCATGGTGAGTGGAGAAGGACCTGGCAGAGTGCTGGATCCCACCAAGGAGTCCCCAGCAGGCATCAGGGCTGGTGTGTCCCTTGGGTGCAAGGTCTCTGAGCCAAACCTGCAGAAGTGCCCGGAGCTGTGGAAACAGGGAGGTCCTAGAAAATTGGGCGGGATTCTGGGCAGGGGGGAGAGCTGGGGATACACGTGCAGCTGGCCAGGTCACATTGCTTGGCAAAGTCTGCCTCAATATGTCTGGAGGAGCAGGGAGCTGGGAGGGACGTCCTGGCAAGGACTGGGGGTGACAGGGGACGTTCCCCATCGTGGGGACACACGGGCTTCAGGGACACTGGTGAGGGTTGATGCTGGTTCCTGCTGGACAGGCTTTTCTTCTTTTGGTGCCTTTGCACCCAGAGGGGATGGGTTTGGGGAAGACCCTCTTTGGTGAAAAATCATAAGGTTTAATACAAGCAAAGTTCTTGCAGCTGCCTCCATGAGATGCTGGGTCACAATGTGGATGATTTTCCCCAGCCTTTTTCTACACACAAAAAGGCTAGAATTTACTTGCCTATAAAATCTGAAAACCAAACATGGTTGCAAAATATTGGGGTGCTTTACAGCAAAGAAGAAAGACGAGGGAGGAAGGGATGCTGGGGGTGCTGTCTCCCAGCCCCAGATTGCCTCACAGTGGCAGGGGCAGAGGGAGAGCTCTGGGGGTGCTCAGGAGGGTCAGGAGTGACAAGCCCTGATGGGATGGTGCCACCCAGCTGCCCCAGTATGCAGCACCTCGGCTCTCCTGGCCCCCAGGATGCCAGCCGAGCTCCCCGGGAGCCCAAGGACAGGTAGTTAAAATTCAGAAATGTCAATTTAAATTAAAATGCATTTCATAAAGAGGGAGACAGACAAAACCTTCCCCGCGGTACAATGAGCTGGGGGATTTATGGGGTACTGGGAGGACTGGTGCTCCCCACTGCAGTGGGGTCTGGAGGGGCTGTCTCAGCTGCCGCTGCCGGCACTGCGGGGCACCCCAAGGCACTGTGCCAGCGTGTGGGGGTCACCCGCTGCCTCCCCCCCAGCCATCAGAGAGGCCAGAGCCGGGTCTGCACCGAAATGTCAGCTCGCTAATAAAATGTGCAGCAGCTGCATTTTCTTTGGGCCAATAAAGCTCCCTCGTGGCAGCAGGGATGCTCGGTACCCAGCTGCCCTCCTGCGCCAGCGCCCTGCTAGGCACCCCTCCGACTCCCTGGGGAGGCACCGGGGCCGGTCTGACCCCAGGCCCGTGCCAGCCCCCCCAAACAGTGAGTGCCAGGAGCAGGCCCTGGTGCCAGGGTGGCACAGGTCTCCAGTGGCACGGCGGGGAGTAAATTCACTGCGCCCTGTCAAGGTAAAGTGACAAAACGTGGGCCTGCAATGCAGGAACTGCAGTTATAAGAAGAGAAAATCAATGCAATATATTACCAGAGATATAAAAACGCCGTTAATGCTTCAGTGTGGGGCACAGCAGCTTCGCTTGCCATCAGCAGGGCAGGTTTGCTGCGAGGTTCACCGAATTCCCATCTTGCTGCTCAGGTCTCCCACATGCTGGGTTTATTTGCTGCCCCCTTCCCCCAGCAAAGGGCTTCTGCTCCCACGTACCACCTCCTGGGCTTTGCCCCATCCCAGTGCCTGGCTTCCATCTGGGAATGTGTAACATGGGAATGCATGGCCTCAGCAGGCACCTTTCCAGCCTCATGGCACAAGAACCTGCTGAGGCTGCACCCCTGGGCCAGGCAGGTTCACCCCTTGTTCTGGGGGTCCCCATGGCCATGAGGCTCTGCCACCCACCTGCCCAGCGGTGCTGAGCCCAGCGCACTCCGGCACCTCCTGGGTTTGACTGAAGGGGAAGAACAACCCCGGTGCACCACGGAGCAAGAATGCAGAAGGATGCTCTCCCGGCAGAGCAGCTGTGGGCAGGGAGCAATCTGTGTGCTGGGGACACGAGTGCTGGGGACATGAGTGCTGGGGACATGCACTGGGTTGCTGGGGACTTGTGCAGTGGGGATGCGTGTGCTAGGGACGGGGACACCACCCCACCCGCACAGCTGTCCATCACTGGGGACAGTTTGGATTATCACTGGGAAGTTGAGCCAAGCTTCTTCTAATTGATTAATCAATAGCCTTAATTGAGTTGAGACTCCTTAACGGATAGCTTCACCGCTGCTTTCCCCTCTGCTGGCGCTGCCCTGACCTCCCACCAAAATCCTCTCGCTGTGGCTGGCCTCTGCCAAGGCAGCGCCGCTGCTGGGCCCTCCCAAACTGCTGGGAGCTGTGGGGCTCGCAGCGGGCTGTGGGGCTGCAGAAGGACTTCTGCCATGGTCATGGAGGAGACGGAGCATGCAGGACTCGCCGGGTGTGGGCAGGTGGGTGACAACCCCCAGAAATGTCCACAGCTCATCGTGCCACCTCTGCCAGCCATGGCACAGCCCCTGGGGGGCCAACCGGGTGTGGGCAGGTGGGTGACAATGTCCACAGCTCATCGTGCCGCCTCTGCCAGCCATGGCACAGCCCCTGGGGGGCCACGGGCTGGACAGGACCCCCCCCCACAGCCCTGCAGCCCATGACCTGTGGCTGGAGAGCACAGGGGACAGGGAGCGGGGACGTGGGGCTGGTCACAGGCACCAGAGAGGTCGAGCTCTTGCACGCTGGAGGAGTGGAGAAGAAGATTTTATGGTAAAATATGCAGAGTGTGGGACAAAAGAGAAAGCGTTTTTTGCATAATGAGACACTGTTAGAGACAAGCTCCCCAGGAAACCAATTAACACGGCACTCGGTGTATGTCAGGCCAACACCCGGCAAAAACACCTTTCCCAGGGAGGACGCAGCCGCCCCCCGCGACGGCCGCCCCCGGCACGGCCCCGTGACAGAGACAGGAGCCCCACCTGTGCCACAGGCAGCATGGGGCCGGCTCTGCCGCCTCGAGTGCGCCATGGGGCCACCGACCCCCCCGGGCCCCGCAGCCCCACGCAGCGGCGTGGCTGGGGGTGCGGGCTTGGAGCCATCCCCCTGCCGGCACGCAGGCGGGGCACAGCGCTACGAGCGCGGGAGCCGTGAGCGCCTACAGCCCCGCACTACCCGGGGCCGCGGGACGCACCGCGGACCCCCCGGCAGCCCCACGGGTGGGTCGGTCCCACCGAGACCGGGACGCGGACACCGGGATGGCGGGAC